ACAAAGTTCTTCAAGAGAGAATGGAACCTATGTTTGAGTGATATAAGGTTGCTTTAAAAAAATAGTTTATTTAGTTGATGTCTTTGTGTCATTGAAGTATTACCATACCATACCGTATAGTACCGTACCATACCATACCGTGCCATACCATACCATACAATACCGTACCGTACCGTACCATACCACATAACATAACATACCGTACCATACCATACCATACAATACCGTACCGTACCATATCATACCACATACCATACCACATACCATACCACATACCATACCGTACCATACCGTACCATACCGTACCATACCATACCATACCAGACCACATACCATACCATTCCATTCCATACCATATACCATACCATACCATATACCATACCATACCATACCATGCCATCTTGTAATCAACAGACTAGACCTTGTAGGATAAGGTTTTACTTCAATAAATACGTCACCATTTTTTTTACAAAGCGATAACACAATAACACAGTAACGATAGACGACCAACAGAGCACAGTTGAATACATACACGATCAAATGCAGACAGGATCATAATCACAAATTGCACACTCAAGTCCCTTTTTTAAAAAGTTTATTGACTGGATTTTTATTAGTCTTAAACTTGTTTTACATATTTTATGGGCCAAGCCAGGAAGCGATTCATTTTTAATCACAGTTTGAAACTTGTGATGATATTTTGAAAATACGTTTTTTTTCCTGACTTCATTGCATTTGTTTGGAGTTAGTTTTAACGCCTTTGAATTGATTCTCATAGCCTGCCATTGACTTGACGTAACTTTCAGGATTATAGGTCAAGGAAGACAACTATGAGTCAGGTTAGTGAGGACAACTTTCATCTTGGTTCGGTTAAAAAGTTTGAAAATTGATTTATAACTTCTCCCTAAATTTATAGGTATAAAATTCCCTCTCCTTGCAACGTCAATAATGGAGACGTTTTTATTTATCTTATCTTTATCTTATTAGATACCTCAATTACTTACAAAGGGAAGACAATTACGTCCTACGCATTTCATAACTCAATCTTAACATACATGTTAATCAATGATCGTTTCCTAGCTGATGCAGTGTTTCCTAAAGTGGGCAACGCGTACCCCCGTGGATACGGGAAGACTACTTCATTAACTATGCTGATTTATTATATTCTGTTATTAAATTAAAATAAGTTAGTAATAAGTTTTAATTCACATTCTTTAATTTTATTTGATTTTATATTCATTCCAACTCATAATTGATGTTATTATACATCTTGAAAATAAATAATCACAAAGATGTGTAGTCATTAAGTAGAAAAATAAAAGGAACCGACATTAGGACGAGGAACAGCATTTCAGATTAAAATTAACATCCAGGGAACCAAATATCTATGCCCATGTCTTCTCATCACATAGAAGCAAGTACATAGAGCAGTGATTCCCAAAGTGGTCTATATAGACCCCCAGGAGTCTATGAAGACTTCCAAGGGGTCTACGAGTCAAAAAAGTTTGGGAACCACTGGCATAGAGAAAAAAAAAGTGTAGTGGGGGGGGGGGGACTCGGTGTTACAAAAATTGTAAAATGGGGTTACACATAGACCCCACGATGACCTGCTAACTAACGTAAAAAATGGGAGATTAAAACCTATGGCCATATTACAAGATGTTCGAAACTCGCAAAGACCTTCCTTCAGGGAACAGTACCAGGAAAAAGAAGAGGCAGACAGAGAAAGCGATGGGAGGACAACATAAAAGAATGAACAGGCCTGTCATTGAAAGAGGTTCTAACTAAGGCAAAAGACAGGGAGGAATGGAGAAAGTCGGTCGACGAGTCTTGCATGGTGCCCCAACGGTCCAATAAACTAATGCATAGATAAAAGGTAAAACACATATGTTAAAAGTTTGGGAATCTCTGCTCTAATGACACTAGGGAAGAAGGAGGAGCACTTGTACTAATTCGTCATAGTATAAAAGTAAAATTTAAAATATGATCATTGACTATCAGTACACTTATCTTATGATTTTGTTCTACACTACAGGTACTCGGACCTCACCGCAATGAGGACCACGAAATGTTGGTCCCACCAGAAGATCAGAGGCGGACCATATGGAATACTGAAAACTCTTCGGGCCCTGTACCAACTGTCAATGACGAGCCCTTGCTGAATGCAGGGTACCCGCAGCCAACATCGACAGGGTACCCGAAGCAAACCACTGTTACCTATCCAAACCAAACTTCTGTTGGCTACCCTTATCCAACCCCTCCTGGCTACTATCAACAACTTCCTGCTGGACACCCTCAACAATCTTCTGCTAACAGTGTTGTCGTTGTCCAGCCTGGCACATCAACCACAGTAAAACAATTTTTTAAAAATGATTTATACTCACACAGTTCTATAAAATCTGGCTATTGTCTTATTATCAACTATTTCTACAAAGCTCAAACAACTCACACTGTCTGTCTGTCTGGGTGGAATGTTGTACACGTTAGTTCTCCCACTTGCCATTCTCGGATGAAGTTGAAACTTTGGAAAATTATTTATTGTACCAAACCAAATAAGATCAATAAAAATTTACCAATTAATTAACTAATTTCTGGAAATAATTTTTGATTTTAATATCAAAAAAACGGAAAATAACTATTACATAATTGAGAAATTTAGTTGTAAATGTGGCGTTATTCCACAAACATAAGCTTTTTTTTTAAGAGTCACTAGGTTGATCTATGTTTTTTTTTAAAATTGTATTTGGTTATTTTTTTCAGCCTGTGTATAACACTGGACACGCTACAGACTACACTGTGTTTAGTATATTTGTGACTTTGTGTTGTTGCCCACCCATGGGGATCTGCGCCTTGATCGATGCAAGAGATGTGAGTATTTGTGATGATCCAAGACTAGTCTTTAAACCCTTTGTCTTACTCTAACTACAGACATTTTCTTCTTCTTCTTCGTTCTCATTGTTATGTTGGAGTGTTCAGATGACTAGACCAATACATGAGATGAACTGCGCAGTGGTTTCCAAATCAGGGAGCTCTCCATATATTTTTTTTTCTATTAGGGTGATTTGGGGCCAATGTCATATACGGGCCTCTTGGTAAAGAGAGCAGTTTTGGAGGACGTGGTCGGCATTCTCTGGTGATACTCCACATGGGCAGATTTCACTGGTTCCAATTTTGAGCTTCCGGTACATGTGTTGTCGCAATCTGTTGTGTCCGGTCCTGTGTCGAAAGATTAGACGTTGGTCTTGTCGGGATAGCTTATAGTAAGCGTCATCTTTCTTGTGATTTGGATGAGAGCTCGTCCATTTCTCTTTTATTTTATTTACAATTAATTTCTCCAATCCTTCTGGACAGAGTGCAGAGTTTATTTGTGAGTTAGTTCTCGCACTCTTGGCGAGTAACAACAACCCAATAACGACAACCGGTTCAAAGAAGTCTCAACCATCATTAGATTTGTTAAATTACTAAATTGACTGGTTTACGGTTTCGTTGATTTCTTTTTTGTATCTTTTTAGTGAATTGGTTTGAAATTAAATTTGACGCAGTGTGAAGAAGATGGGCCACCACTGTAAACAGAAAAGTAGTAAAATTCCTCTTTCAGACCTTGTGGACTATAGGGCAGATGATGTTAAGGTCATCTGTGTCTGTGGCCTACGGTTAACGAGGGTGCCATGTGGCCAGCACAACGATCAACCGCCTTTACTTTTCCCCAACTAATGTCATATTTGAACAAACCAATGTGCTTTTGCAAATGAATTATTTGTGGAAAACTAGAGAAGTCCATTAAATATAATTTTTTAAAAAATTTTACCTGGAAAATATTTAGACCCAAAGTTAGTATTTAAAAAGTCGTTCATACTCCCAGATAAGGTCTTAGAAGTAATCCCTTTTTCCTAGTGCCATTAGAGCATTGAACGGGTTGCCTGAGTCAGACAGACACAATGACTTAAATTTACTTGTAAGAATGTCAACATAGGTCAATGACACACGTTTATATTTGTTTTGTGCTTTGTTGTTTAACGCAAAGATATCCAATGACATAAATTTTGTTTGTTTACAGTCCAAGGCCCATTTGTTGCTAGGCAACACACAGAAAGCCCAAGACCTGGCTCGCAAGTCTCGAAACTGGAACATTGCTGGACTGACCATTGGTGTTGTAACACTGGCTGCCTTGATTATCTTTCTGACCATCTTTTTAGTTAAATCTACTGATCATGAGTGGTCCAGTGGTGGAGCATACAACGGTTGGCATTATCCAGGTCCTTGGGGTACTCGCGGTCCTTATGATACTCCAGGCCCTTATGATACTCCAGGCCCTGACGATACTCGGGGCCCTGACGATACTCCAGGCCCTTGGGATACACGGGCCCCTTGGAAATAAGGCCTTAAGACTTTTGGCAGCTGCTTTTTCTTAATCTCTGTAACATCAATACATTTAATCTTAGATGTCTGTATTTGTCTATATGTGACTTGTTTTTATTCATCTTATTAAACACTCGTTTCAAGATACATTTTTTAAAAATATTTAAAACCTATGATTGTTTTGCCGTAGAACAGAGCCACCACCAACACGCACCTGTATACCATGTGCATGAGATATAATCTGAATGCACATTAAGTTTCTCATATATCAACTCACTCTGTGTCTGTCTGGTAAAAAATCGTACACGGAATAACTTCAATATATAAATATCAGATCACGCTGAAATATTGCTAAATTCTTTCTTTTCCCTGACAACATAAAAACCAATTTTAAAAAAATCAACCAATTAGTTAATTAACTATTGGTCAGTAAATATTTTGTTGGGTATCTCAAACAAGGGAAAGAAATTGTACTTGACTGAGCTGGTTGAATTAGTCCTCCTTATCGGTCGTGGCTGTAAAGTAAGTTTGTAACAAATAACACATGGCTATACAATGTCTGTTCTCACACACACCTCACTGGCAGAGTGGATACAATGTCGGTTTGAGTCATGAGTTCGAATTCCAGTTGTCCCCCCCACCTTTAAAAAAATGCTTACGATTACGATAAATTTCCCCCAGACACCACCCTCCCCCATGTTTCCAAATGGTCCAGATGGATTATATCGTAGCGAGAAAGCTATAAACATGAAATAGCGCTAAACAAAAACAATCGGTTAAAATATTTCTCATCACATCAGATTTATTGTTGTTGGTGTCGATCTAATGCAAACGTTTTACATGGCTCATTCAAACTAATTGAAATAATTACACTTAATATAAGCTTTTTTAAAAAAAATTTTTTTATGCTTTTCTTGTTATGATTTGTAGAGAAATCGATATTAGTTTAAATTATGTTCACCAATAACTAACTGCATAACTAATGACAAATATTTAAAAAAACGATTATTTTACGAATTAGAAATCTATATAAACAGCTCTATGCTTTTGTTTTCCTTTGTATTACAAATAAAATTTTAAAAAAGGTGTATTTTGTTTTCCTTTGCTTTATTTATTTTATAAATCATAACTACTACTACTTTCTTTTCTACAATCAATTACGTAATCTCTTTTTTTTCTACAATCAATTACGTAATCTCATTAGGGTATCTAGAGAAACACAGAGATTATGGAAGACAAAAAACTTAAAAATATATGTTAGGGTCGAAACCCGAAACCGGCCATCTCGCGAACTGGCCATTTTTGCTTCACATTGAACGGCCAATGCACGAAATGGTCATAGTTCAATCACCCTGTCACCCTAAAAAGATTTGAATCACCCAGTCACACTAAAAAAGATTTAAATCATCCATTACAATAAAAAAAAAAGATTTGACTCACACTTAAAAAATTAAATCACGCAGTTAGCCTCAAAAGATTTGAATCACCCACTCGCTCTGAAATGAATCACCAATGATCAATTCGTTTCTTGCCTACACAGTAGGCAACTAGTTGTACTCTAAAACGCAAGTCAAACATGTTAACGGACCCTCCCCTGACCCCGTCTAGACTGTACAACACGGTCAAGGTCAAACAATGAGCACTACCAAGAAATTGTAAATACATTTTTTTGTATTGATTATATGTGTTGATGTCCTGGTGACCAAATTTCTAATTGGGAATAATTTCAACCAGAAATATTCAAATATTTTAAAGCTTTTTTTTTTTTGTTTGTTTTACATTTCAAAACGTTTTCATGTTACCGAACATATATGTACCATGGTTAACTACCTCGATGCGCTATGTGCGTTTCACGTGACTGGACCAGTTGTGAAAGGGGGAGGGAAGAAGGGGACATCTTGTTGAAATTTTACATGTTCGTATTTTAAATGCATAAAAAAAAGTCCACTCAGGGCGCGAGTCATCAAGGGGGACTAATTCAACTCATACCGTCGCATCTGACAAGTACAAATTCTTTCCCTTGTTCATGATAACAAACAAAGTAATTAATCACCAATAATTAATAAACTAATTGATCAATTTTTTTTTATTGATTCTTGCGTTGTCAGGTAAAGAGTCAAAGAAATTGGGAGTCGGAGAAATAGCTGGTAAAAACTTTTTTTAGCAGACAGACAGAGTAGGTTGATAGAAGCTTTGTACATGACAAACAAACAAAGAGGTACAATTTCCAGTCTTAATCATTGAAAAAGTGGCTATGCTATGGTACAGCGATCCTAGACAGATATCTGCCTGGATAGCTGCCTGGTCGTGCGGTTTGCGCGCTGGACTGTCGCTTGGATTTATCGATGATCCCTGGTTCAAACCCTGCCCGCTCCCATCCCCCGTCGTCCTGCGGGAGGTTCGAACTAGGAAGTAAACTATCTTCAACTCTGAAGGAACATCCGAAACATGTAAAACAAACAGATATCATTCTAGCTAGGACAGACGTAGGCTATAACTGTTCTAGTATGTTTGAGTTCCTGTGCACTAACTTTAGCAGACGAGATGCAGATGCAGACGAGAGTACCGGTTACAGGTGGATCAAGCATATCGGTCAGCACGTGCAAGAGGTAACGCTGGAAATTGTCAGAAATTAATACAATTATATTTAAATACATTACATCTCCCCGCTTCCACTGCGTCTCTACAAATTCAAAATGTCAACTGAATTACTGTAGATCATTATATATTTATTTCTGCTACCCGTAATTATAAATATAGTCTCAAAGGAGGAAGCTAATTATATGCCTTATTGATTATAGTCACAAAACTAAACAAACTTTCCAATGTAGATAATTATAGAATCGAATATCTTGTCACGTGACTACGAGAAGCAATATTGTATCTGCCATTATGTTCTTGCTGAGTTAATTAGCTGTTGTTCTGCTCATACTCTTCTGCTAATTTAAAGAATTTAATTGAGACATGCTTTTCCAAAGTATTGAACTGATTCCTAGTACCACTATCCTACTACAATCAATCAATCAATTAATAGTGACAATAGTTCAAAGGATACTAACCTTCATTACTGAATGTAGACCTTATATAGTAGTTAATCAATGTCAACCATTGGGTTTGTCAGGTACTTCCCTTAGCTCGATGCTAAAAAACTTCACATGGACACTAGCTCTCTTAATTATTGACTCAGTTCACTTGTTTCTTACAATTCGAAGCGAAAATTTAACGAAACCTTTGGAATCAACAATCACAAGAATTCTTGAAAGTCTTTAGGTCACTTTGTATGAGTAATAAGAGCAGTCACAATAAGACAGTGTTGGTGGTTGGGTCGTAGCTCTAGATAGCTAGTCCTACTAAACCAGGTTGTAACTCTTGATAGCTAGTCCAGCTAAATCAGGTTGTACATCTAGACAGCTAGTCCTACTAAACCAGGTTGTAACTCTTTATTGCTAGTCCAGCTAAAGCAGGTTGTAGCTCTAAACAGCTAGTCAAGCTAAACCAGGTTGTACATCTAGACATCTAGTCCATCTAAGCCTGCTTATAGCTCTAAACAACTAGTCCATCCAAGCCTGCTTGTAGTTTTAGACAACTAGTCCAGCGAAATTGTAGCTCAACACACTTAGTTAATCTAAACCAGGTTGCAGATCTAGACAGCTAGTCCAACTGAACCAAGTCGTAGCTCTATACAGCTTGTCCAACTAAACATACCTGTAACTCTAGAGAGCTAGTCCAACTAAACATACCTGTAGCTCTAGACAGCTAGTCCAACTAAACCTACCTGTAGCTCTAGACAGCTTGTCCAACTAAACATACCTGTAGCTCTAGACAGCTAGTCCAACTAAACCTACCTGTAGCTCTAGACAGCTTGTCCAACTAAACATACCTGTAGTTCTAGACAGTTTGTCCAACTAAACATACATATAGCTCTAGACAGCTAGTCCAACTAAACCTACCTGTAGCTCTAGACAGCTTGTCCACCTAAACATACCTGTAGCTCTAGACAGCTTGTCCAACTAAACCTACCTGTAGCTCTAGACAGCTAGTCCAACTAAACCTACCTGTAGCTCTAGACAGCTAGTCCAACTAAACCTACCTGTAGCTTTAGACAGCTAGTCCAACTGAACCAGGTTGTAGCTCTAGGCAGCTATTCCAACTAAACCTACCTGTAGCTCTAGACAGCTAGTCCAACTAAACCTACCTGTAGCTCTAGACAGCTAGTCCAACTGAACCAGGTTGTAGCTCTAGGCAGCTAGTCCAACTAAACCTACCTGTAGCTCTAGACAGCTTGTCCAACTAAACCTACCTGTAGCTCTAGACAGCTAGTCCAACTAAACCTACCTGTAGCTCTAGGCAGCTAGTTCAACTAAACCAGATTAAATACAAGAATTCCTTCTGTCTCACAGCCTGCACATTTCAACAGACTTCCATCCGCTGTTAACATCTATTTATAACCCAATAGTCATACCCCTGGTTACATCAGGATATATTCAACAAATCACAATCAGGTTCACAAACTCCATTACAAAGGCGACCTGATCGAATGTAGTATTTTTATTTAAATTAACAATACAAGTTTTTAAAATGTTTACGTGTGCACTATTTCTAGTATTCAAACGTCTTTTGTGGACTTTTGCTTTAATGATAATAGGCATGGTTTTTATATTTATACATAAAAAGGACTTCAATCTATAAACAAATTAATTAATCAATAGATTAATGTGATTATATTACTCCGCCTAGTCACTAGCCTCCCCAAACTCGAAATAGAAAGTAAAGAAATACAAGTCTACATTCATAATTACAGTACGTTTTTTTTTAAAGGAAAACTCATTTAGCTCTTCGCCAGAGTTTTAACTCTAGAGCATAAAGACCTCAAAGTGATGTACTTAAACACTGATATATATGAGATACTGTTAAATTCGATATCCTATTCAAAACAAAAGATGAGTAACCAGAAGTCATTAAACATCTCTGCTGAACTAAATGTTCGAAACTAAATGATTACAACTGAACTAAGAATTCAAAAGATCTATTACGAATAGAAAACTAAAAATTTAAAATTTGAACAGTTAAAACATTCCTTCAACGATATTCTGAATGATTTCCTCACTGAAATTCGTTACGTATTGAATTAAAAAAAAAACACTACAAAAAACGGATAGTAGAAAAAATATTAGAGAAGAGCAGAGTCGCACATCACCAGCTGGACATCAGTGTTCATTCCCAACGAGACATCAGTGTTCATCCCCAGCTGGACATCAGTGTTCATCCCCAGCTGGACATCAGTGTTCATCCCCATCTGGACATCAGTGTTCATCCCCATCTGGACATCAGCGTTCATCCCTAGCTGGACATCAGCGTTCATGCCCAGCTGGACATCAGTATTCATCCTCAGCTAGACATCAGTGTTCATTAAGGCTGAGCATAACTTTGTTGTCTTTACGAAATATTTAAATAGATATAGTCGCGTCACTTAGTTAAGTCCCTTGGTAGTGTTTTTGAATAGATAATTGTAGTTTGTAATTAAGTGAGTAACTAACGAAGTGATCTTTCTGAAATTTTAATCAAATGTGATGTCGCGAATTTTTAATTTGATAGAATATTTAAAAGTTGTCAAAATAAACAATTCAAATTTCTAACCATGTCAAAAGATTTGTGAGTGGTAGCGATTGAACAAGCAAATGATGATGTTATTTGCTATATTTACATCCGATGTTTGAATTACGCTTGGTAAAACTATTGTCATTAAAAACTTCTTAAAGAACTTTTCGACAAGTTACAGCGTATTGCACCTCGACCAGCATCAGCTTCTTCTCTCTCTCCGTGGCTGACCTTTTGGGCCTCGTGACCTTGTTGTGGTACGACATGTGTCTCAACCCATACCTCGCCAACCTTGACACTGATATCCTTTTCAAAGAAGTCGCTTACCTAACTTCCGGCTGGCCGCACGGCTGCGCGTCGCGCATCACCAGCTGGACCACAGTGTTCATCACGGCCGAGAGATGTCTATCTATCGCTCTCCCGTTAAAAATCAAGCATGTCATCACCCCGGAGAGGACAACGGC